CCAGCCCATGTAGGAAAATCTGTGAGACTTTTCTCTCCAGTTAACCACCAAAAAAGTCAGAAGTGGGGTGTGGCGCAAAGGTAGAGTGCTAGTCCTGAACAACAAACTAGATAAGATCATGAGACCCTGAGGTCAAGCCCTAATGTCAACACAGAAAAAAAAAAAGAGGTCAAGTATATTTTACTAATATATCAATTATCGCAGTTACATTTAAACAAGCTTGCTGATCTATCTACTCAGAAAAGCTGTTTTTTAGTGTGAGTTGTAGCTGCCAAGGAATAAAGATGGTTTTTAAAATTATTATCAGGAAGAGTATTTTGAGGGTAATGGGTGAGTTGTTTGGAACAGAGTTGGGTCAATGGACTGCAGGCTGATGCCATCCCAGAGCAGCATCTCAGCTGAGAAGGTGTGGTATCCGTCAAAACCCGGGCATCAGTAGCCACAGCACCACTGTGAGTCCTGTGAGAGTTTTTTGGAGGAGGGAGGATAGAGAAAGGAGGGCAAAGCAGGAACCAAGCTTGGCAGTTGAGGAATTGAGTGCCTCAGTTTGTTTCAGAAGAGTGCAACTTAACCCCTATCCCTTTTGCCCTGCCGCCACCAGCTGCCACCCACCCACCACTGCTGCACGATTCTAGCAGGCCATGGAAGGTTGAATCTAGTATACTTTGATCTGGAGAAGGCAGGGCATAGCGAATGCTTATTTGGTGAATGAAAATGGTGGTGGTTCACACCCCTAATTCTAGCTACTCAGGAGACTGAGATCTGAGGATTCAGATTTGAAGACAGCCCTAGCAACAAAGTCCCTGAGACAGAACTGGAGCTGTGGCTCAAGTGGTTGAGCACTAGCCCTGAGAGAAAAAGCAAAGGGTGAAAAAGAATGAATGAGTGTATGAATGGTGGTTGTAAAAGCCCTGAGAAAGAATTGCTAAACTACAATGGAGAAAAATAGGAATTGAGTGGTCAGCAGAAGGGCTAGGTCCCCAGTATAGCCATCTGGAGGAAACAGTTGGCTTCCTGGAAGAGTGCTGGCAGCCAGGGGGGTTGTCCTTGTCTGCAGGGGCAGGGAAAGGAGTCACAGCTGTCCAGTTTTCATTTATTTCCCTGGGGTTGGCATGGATGAAGGAAGGCAAGGGTGTGCCCATCCACAGGACTGTGACTTAAGAGCAAAGTCTAAACTGTGTTGGTTTGGAGGAGGGAAGGGCATCTGGGCCAAAATCTACAGGAAGATATAGACCAGAGCTGCTGGAGTTGATTGGAATCATCTGCACTGATATCTTCTTGCTGTTGTCACTTAAAACAAAAAAAAAACAAAAACACAAAAAAAAAACACCTTCTAAACATCAGTTTGTCCAGAGAATCAGCCTTGAAGAGAGAGAGAGTCTGTGTGTCTGTGTCTGTGTGTTTGGGGTCTTGGCTGTGACCATCCACAGATAGTCTACCCCAGAAGGCCCCACCCCTATGGGGGTCCCTCTTGCCTCAGATTTCCAGATATTGTCTCCTAAACACAGAAGTAAGAAAGGATCCAAGTAGTTCAGATTGCCAGTTGCACTTCAGGTCTCATTTCTAATTTCAATGTCTGAAGAAAAACACATTTCTCTTGAGTTTTTAACATTTTCTCCTTGATCTTTCGGCTTTAAATTTTTTAAAATAAGTTTTTTTATTGTGAAAATACCATGCAGAGGGGTTATAATTACATGAGCAAGGTAATGAGTACATTTCTTATCAAGCATTGTTGCCTCCTCCTTTGTTTTTCCCCTACCATCCCTTCCCTCCCACCTCCACGACTATATTCCCCCACCCCTTATCCCCCCACCTCCCATCCCCCATCCCCCACTTTTAAATTTATACCTTTAATTCATTAGAATGGGCTTGCTGTTCTTCCCTTGCTTGCTAAATGAGTTGTACTTGTCTTTTTCTTATAAATCTCAGAAAGTTTCTATGTTAGTCAGCTTTCTGTAGCCATAACAAAATACCGGAGATGATCAACTTAAAAGGATTAAAGGTTTATTTTGGCTCCTGGTTTTAGAGATTTCTGGCTGTGGTTGGTTCCTCTGTTTCCAGGTGCATGGTAAGGTAGAACATCATGGCAGTGAGTATGCAGTAAGCAGTGAAGCAGAGCTGCTTCCCCATAGCAGATACAAAGTGAAGAATGGGGAACCAGGAAGGAGCTAGGGGCAAACTATATCTTTCAAGTGCACATTCCCAGTGACTTACTTCATGCAGGTAGTCCCTGCCTCTTCAAATTCCTACCACCTCCCAATAGCCCAATTCAGCTGCGAGCCAAAATCAGAGCCTTCCAGATATAATCAGTCTCCTTGGGGAAAACCCCTGAATGCTGCTGCACTGGGACCAAGTCTTTCACACATGAACTCCTGGGGGACATTCCAGGCTCAACTACAGTTGTGTCCATGGTCCTAAAGATAAGGACACTGAAATCTGTGTTGACAGTATCTTTGAATGTTGGTCTTCTGCTTTTGCTGTATCCTCAGATGAGTAATTCTTAATTGTACTGTACTTTAGTGTTACATTCTGCCAGTTTTCTGATTTTCATCTTCTAATTCCTCCCTTGCAATTTAAATTTCTGCCATCATAATTTCAATTCAAAGACATTGCTTTTATTCTAACCTTGCTATGTTTTTGGAGGGAGCATCAGTGTCTGTTTGTTTTTGTTTCTTAGCTGAGTGTTTAGTTTTAAAAGATTATAATGAAAATTCAGGGCCTAGTGTGGTAATGCAGATTTGTAATTCCAGCTATTTAGGAGGCAGAGATCTGTGGAATGAGGTTTGAGACTTAGCTGGAACAAAAAGTTAACAAGAGGGCTGGGAAGGTGGCTCAGTGGTAGAATGCTTGTCTTGCATGCATGAGGCCCTGAGTTCGATTCCTCAGCACCACATAAGCAAAAAGAAAAAAGCCAGAAGTGGCGTTGTGGCGCAAGTGCTAGAGCACTAGCCTTGAGCTGAAGAGCTGAGGGACAGCGCCCAGGCCCTGAGTTCAGGCCCCATGACCGGATCAAAAAAAAAAAAGTTAACAAGACCTTTGTCTCAACTAACAAGGTATGTTGATACATATCTGTAATCCTAGCTATGAGAATAGGTGAAAAGAGAGTTAGGTAGGATTGTGGTCCAATTTGGCCAGGGCAATAAAATTAGAGATCTTACCTTAAAAACAAACAAACAAAAAAACCTACAGAAAACAGGGCTGGGGCATGGCTAAAATGGTAGAGCATCTGGCTAACAGGCATGGGATTCAGTCTAAAGTCCAGTACTGCCAAAAAAAAAAAGCAAACTGAAGGCTGTGTTTCAGTAGGTCTTGTGGATTGAAGCACATATGCTGTTTAGTTAAAAGACTACTGTTAAAGTGGTAGAGTGTCAGCCTTGAGTGAAAAGGCTAAGAGAAAGCATCTAGGCCCTGAGTTCAAGCCCTACTACTGGCATAAAAAGTGACTGAGAGAGACAGAGAGGGAAACAGAGAGATCTTTGGGATTTGTGGGCTTTTTTCCTATCACACAGTACAGAACTCATCCAGCTTCTGCCTGGATTTGTATAGCTCAGGGGAATGATACTAGGCTCCCTCCTTGACTGTGCTTCCTAAAGGGTAGCCCCCACCCCACTCTTGTCTTCCTGGAATGCAGACTGCTTCCTCCCCATCATTGGAGGCTCTTGGGTATGCTTTCCTGTGGCTTTTCTGTGGATTCTGTTTTCAGCCGTATCTTCCAAGTCTAAATGGATTCTCTGGCATAAACTGACTGCTACCCTCTGGTGCCCCTTCCTGCTGCCAGGGTTTAAGAATCTTCTTCCTCAGGCATCTGTCTCCCTGTCTTGGCTGATACCACTTGTCTGGGTCTGTCTCTTTGCCTGTCTTTGATCTTGTCTATTTTTCCTTTTATTTCTTAAACTACTACTTAGCATGGGCTTAGGAAGTGAATGGAGATGGGCCGAGGCATGTATATTCAACTTCCTCTATTTATTGGGAGCCAGTCCTAATTAGTTATTAAGAATTGTTTAATAGGGAAGGAGCTAGAAGGTCCACACTCAGGCTGAGTGTGAACCCTTAGCTTTCTCACTCAAGGCTTGGTGCTCTAGCACTTGAACCTACCTCAGCTTTTTGTGGTTAATTGGAAAAAAGGATCTCAAGGACTTTCCCACTCAGCCTGGCTTCAATTACTGGTCTTCAGATCCTTGTCTCCTGCCTGAGTAGCTAGGATAACAAGAAGCATCTGTAAGACCTATGGATCCCAATTGCTACATTTCTTACACTTTTTTCTTTATAAGCAGGGGCTTATAAACAAACAAACAAAAAAAAAAACAACCCACCAAACCTTCCAGTTGCTGATGGCTCACACTTGTAATCTGAGCCACTCAGGAAGCTGAGGTCTCAGGATTGCAGTTTGAAGCCAGCACTGGCAGAAAAATCTGTGATACTCTATCTTCAATGAACTGCCTTCTTGGGGGGGGGGGGGAGACAGGGAGGGAAGGAGAGAAGAGGAGAGGAAAGGAAAGGGAATTTGATTCAAGTGGTAGAGTACTAGCACTGAAAGAAAAAGCTAAGGAACAGTTTCCTGTCCCTGAGTTTGTCTTAGTAACATGTGCTACACACACACACACACACACACACACACACACAGATCAGTTCTCTTTACACACACACACACACACACACACACACACACACACACACAGAGATCAGTTCTCTTTCTGTTTGTTGCTTATGCCTTCTCTAGACCCTTCTCCAATGCTCATGTTCTGGAGATACACATATTGTAAGCAAGCTTGTTCTAGGCTAATTGTATATGTGTGGAATGTGTTTTTAAAACATTTCCTATACTTCTTTTATTTCTATGAAAGCAGTATGTTTACATTAATAGACAATACTGGTGGGAAATTAAAGCAGATATCCTCCTTTCTGCTCTGGAAGTGTCATCAACCAGAAATGGCCTCTGTGTCCTCTTGTGTCATGCTCCTATGTCCTTGGTCTTCATGACTATCTTCTTTCTCTTCTAGGACACAGGGGTTGGGAAGTCAAGCATCGTGTGCCGCTTTGTCCAGGACCACTTTGACCACAATATTAGCCCCACCATTGGGTAAGTTCCTGTGTGTTTCCCCCTCCTCACTGCTTTCTTCCTGAGTGTATAGGGAGGTGGTCCTGTTGGCATGCAGTTTCCCTCCCTGCCAGTGACAATCACTTTCAACTGGAGACTACCAGGAAAACGGGGATTTCTTTTTTTTTTGGGGGGTCCAGTAGTGGGGCCTGAACTCTGGGCCTGGGCGCTGTCCCTCAGCTCTTCAGCTCAAGGCTAGCGCTCTACCACTTGAGCCACAACGCCACTTCCGGCTTCTTTCTTTTTGCTTATGTGGTGCTGAGGAATCGAACCCAGGGCCTCAGGCATGCAAGGCAAGCGCTCTACCACTGAGCCACCTTCCCAGCCCCGAAAACAGGGATTTCTCAGCTAGCCCCGCTTCTGCTATAGGCCAGGGTCATCTCCTTGACCTTCAAGAGCATGATTTTGCAAATAAACATGGCTTTATTTCCAGATTAAAAACAATGTACAGAACCTTGCCTGGTCCTTACCCTGGCAACACTATATTGCTATACCAAGACAGTCTGGGTGGTTTGTGGAGAGGATTCATTTCTCATTTCTGTGAGAAGAGAGTGGGATGGGGTGGGTTGGAGACTTTGACAATGGGATGCACAGGTGTTTTCCTGCCTCATCTCTCTTGTGAGTTCTTTGGCCAAGTGTTCTTTGTCTGGGCCAGTTTTGGGTTCTGGCTCTTTGCTCTCTTAGATGTTAACCTGAAGATGCCATATTTTTTATGAGAGCAGGGGAAAGGGTGAGTGTGTTTATTTGGGGGACCTGTGAGATTAGTGAGGGCAGAGGGATGGCCTCATTTGTGGGAAGTTGAGATAATTCCTGCAGAGACTAAATAGCTGCTTCAAGCAGTGGGTTGATTATGTTGGGTTCATTAAAGAAACATGTTCATGAAAGGATGTGTCATGGACCACGAATGGTTTGAGTTATCACTCTACTTCCTAGAGTGGTAGCATTATAGGTTGGTTCCCTGAGCCTCGATTTCCCATAAGATGACATTAAGACAGATGACACCTTAAAAGTATTAGTTGAGTTACAGGAGACACAGAGAGGAACGCTGAGTAATAGAGTAACATTTATTTCATATTTTATATATGTATATTTCTAAATCTTTTATACTGGTAGTGTGTCTACCTGGCCTGTCCCTTTCTTCCCAAGCTGCTTAGTATATAAATATTGTTTTAAAGAGCCCGGGGAAAGAGATATCTATAATGGGAAACACTCAGGAGGAATGGCTTCCCAACACAGACACTTGTGTGATAGAAAGATGGTTATTTTTTATTTGTTTTTCTTTTTATAGCAGTACTGAGGCTTGAACTCAGGGCCTGTGCACTCTTCCTTAGATTCTTCATTCAAGCCTAGAGCTATATTATTTGAGCTACAGCTCCACTTCCAGCTTTTTGGTGCCCAGACTGGCTTTGAATCTTGAGACTCAGATCTCAGCTTCTAGAGTGGCTAGGATTATAGATGTGAGACGCTGGCACCTAGCAGGAAGATTTTTTGTAGATATTCTTTTCACTTTTCTCCAGATTTTTTTTTTTTGTACTTAAGGCCTCATGCTTGCTAGACAAGTGTACCACCAGTTACTTGAGCCATACCTTGAGACCTTTTACCTTATCTCATTATTTTTAAATAGGATCTCTCATTTTTTTTAGCTGACCTGGACTTCAACCCTCCTGTTGATGCCTCCTACAGAGCTGGGATGACTGGTGCACACTACCACACCCAGCTTTTTATTGGTTGAGTTGGGGTTTTGTGAACTTTTTGCCCAGATGAGTCTTAAAATGCTTTCCTCTCCATTCACCTCCTAAGTATTGAGATTATAGGCATGAGCCACCATGTCTGCCTCCTCTTTAATATTTTGCTTTGTGTTTCTTGATAATGAAAACAAAACCTCTAAGGGAGTAATGATGATATGTGACTGTGGAAGACAAAAGACTCTCAACTTCTACTTTCTAAACTTTTAGTTTAACTTTTTTGTTTTCCTTTTTGCTGTGCTGGAGATTGAACTCAGGCCCTCACACATACTAGACAAACATTTCACCCCTGAGCTACATATATCTCCAGTCCTGAATTCAAATAAAAACAACAAATCTGCATTCCTTTGTAATGATTTTTTAAAATAGCAAAGACTACTCATACCATAAATTGTGGTCAATACATACAAATGGTAAGTATGTGTTAAGCATATTATATCTATAGTAGGTGTGTCATTTGGGTCATAATTTCTTGATCAAAGTACATCATAATGTCAGCCTACATTCAAAGGTAGGGAAATATACTTCTCCTCATGGTGGGAGGCGGGTGGGAAAGGCATTGGTAGCCATTCTGGAGGTGACTACAATTGACAGTACTTGGCTTAGTAAATGCATTTAGTGGTATTAGGAGGATATATATATATATATATATTTTCTTTACACATTTGTATATTCATACATCTGTTTTACATATCTATATTTTATATATTTTATACATTTATACATGTAAATATATTCATATAAACAGATGTATGTTTAACTTATATATTAAAATAGCATTTAATAAATAATATAAAGAAATTATATTTTTATTTATATATATGTGTTAGTATATATGTATATATATAAATGTATACATATGTTTAAAATGTCAGATTATGTATATATATGTATATATGTTATATAGAAACTCATTGTGCTTTCTGCTCTGTTTCTCTATAAACTCTAGAACTGCTCTAGAAAAATTAAATACAAATTGTAGCTAGGCACTGGTGGCTCACGCCTGTCATCCTAGCTACTCAGGAGGCTGGGATCTGAGAATGTGATTCAAAGCCAGGTCAGGCAAAAATGTCTTTAAGGTTCTTATCTCCCATTAGCCACCAAAAAGCTCAAAGTGGACCAAGGGTAAGAGCTCTAGCCTTGACCAAAAAACAGCTCAGGGACAGTAACTAGACCCTGAGTTCAAATCCCGGACTGTCACACATACAAAACAATATATGGGGCTGGGAAGGTGGCTCAGTGGTAGAGCGCTTGCCTTGCATGCATGAGGCCCTGGGTTTGATTCCTCAGCACCACATAAGCAGAAAAGTAAAAAACTGGAATTGGCACTGTGGCTCAAGTGGTAGAGCGCTAGCCTTGAGGTGAAGAGCTGAGGGACAGCGCCCAAGCCCAGAGTTCAGGCCCACGATCGGACCCAAAAACTAAAACAAAATATATGTACCCTAGTTTTTTAGTTTTTTAAAGTTATAATACTCATTATGAAAAAAATTAGGTAATATAAAAGTACAAATAAAATCAGGTCCTTGTAATCCTCTTGCTTGTAGTCCTCTACTCAGGAGGCTGAGTTCTGAGAATTGTGGTTCAGAGCTATCCCAAGCAGGAAAGTTTGTGAGTCTCTTATTTCCAATTAAGCACCAGAAAACCACCACTGTGGTTCAAAGTGGTAGAGCACTAGCCTTGAGCAAAAGGAGCTCAGGGACAGCGCCCAGGCCCAAGTTCAAGCCCCATGACCGACCCCACATGCCCCCCCCCAAAAAAAAACCCCTGAAAACTAGGCACCTGTGGCTCATACTTGTAATTCTAGCTACTTGGGAGGTTTAGAATGTGAGGAACAAGGTTCCAGGCCAACGTGTAGAGACTCCATCTTCATGGAGGGAAGCTTGATATAGTAGCATGCATCTGTGATCCCAGCAATGATGGGAAACCTAAAATAGGCAGCTTAAGGCTCAGATGTACAACCCAGCAGGAAGTGAGACCCTATTCTAAAATTATACAGTGAAAAACAGGGCTGAAGGCATAGCTCTCCAATATCACACCAGCCGAACAAGTGCAAGTCTCTGAGTTTAACCTCACTACTTCCTATCAGTAAACAAAATGAGAAGTGAAGTAACTATTTTTTACTACCTTTTGAATTCCATATTCTGAAATTCATATAACCAACATTCCAAAGTGTATACTGAACATAATATGTTCCATATGTTTGTAAAGGTCCAAGTAAATCATTTCTAAAATAGCAATGTATCAAATTATTCTTAACATTCCACAGAATGTGGTCTCTTCCTATCCTTTTTTTTTTTTCAGTCGGTCGTGGGGCTTGAACTCTGGGGCAAGAGCACTGTCCTTCAGCTCTTCAGCTCAAGGCTAACACTCTACCACTTGAGCCACAGCACCTCTTTCTCTTCCTGTGCTTTTTTATGGATTGCTTTTTTTTTTTAATGTAGCTTCTTGACAAGCCCAACATTAAGTCTATATTTTCTGGTTATAAAAACTCATGTTAGGGGCTGGGAAGGTGGCTCAGTGATAGAGCACTTACCTTGCATGCATGAGGTCCTGGGTTCGATTCCCCAGCACCAAATAAGCAAAAAGAAAAAAAGCCGGAAGTGGCGCTGTGGCTCAAGTGGTAGAGCTAAAGAGCTGAGGGACAGCGCCCAGGCCCAGAGTTCAGGCCCCATGACCGGACCCCCCCAAAAACACAAAACAAAAAAACCATGTTATATTTATAAGATTATGTCTTTGTTGCCTTGTATGTCCCTCCCCCATGGTACAACCCCTGCTTTCACTATATATGATGTTGGTATATGTGGAGGGGAACCGAAAAACAAATAATTGTTAAAACAGGGATACAGGAATACCCATTGCAAAATGAGATGTACAAGTTGTTATGTCGAAAAACGAACTTTACAACTTTGGTGGGGGAGGACTGGGGGCGGGGAGGGGAAACAAAACAGGAGGCTACAATGCTTGATAAGAAATGTGCTCATTATCTTACCCACATAATTGTAACCCCTCTGTACAGTATTTTCACAATAAAAATATATTAAAAAAAAAATAACTCACGTTAGTTGGGGATGTAGCTCAGTGGCAGAACATTTGATTTCCACTTGAGGGCCCCTGGATTCTGTTCCAGCACTGGGGGAAAAATTGTGTGTGTGTGTTTGTGTGTGTGTGTGTGTGTGTGTGTGTGTCTGTATGTGTGTGTATATGTCTGTGTTTGTGTATGTGTGTGTGATGATACTGGGGCTTGAACTAGGAATCTGGATGTTGTCCCTGAGCTTTTATGCTCAAAGCTGGCACACTACCACTTGAACCAGACCTCTACTTCTTGTTTTTTGGGGGGTTGGACGTGGTGGTTATTTGGAGCTATTTTCTACCTAAGCTAGCTTTAAACCTCAATCCTGAGATCTCAGCCTCCTGAGCAGCTAGGATTACAAGTGTGAGCCACTAGTGTTCAGCAGCAAGAAAAAAAAGTTATGCTCACTTCTACCTTTTTAAT